AGCCCGCCAGTGCCGCAAGAGATATCGGCGAACGTGTTGGATCACCCCCGTCGCCGAGGCCCAGCCCATCGGAACCACCGTGGAAAATAGATAGACTGATCCCTCGCCTGGCAGCCCCAGCGCCGTGCGCCGGACTGGCAGCGACAAGGCGAAGTGGGGCCTCCAGGCTGGCGGGGGGCGGTAGACGTAGAAGCAGCGCTTGAGGCCCTCCGACGACGCGGCGAGAATCCCTCCTGACCTGACCGACGCGCTACGCCACTTCTCTGACGACGGAAGGAGCGGCATGTCCCCCTGAATCACCATCTGAATCGCATTCGAAGGGATCATGTTCATGACGAGTCTCTGGGGGCCCTCGCCGCGTGTGTGGCCACCCTTATGCGCGCCGACATGCTGCCCAATATCTGCTTGCCTTTGAAGGCAGCCACTTCTTCAAAGTTGATGGGCTCGAGGATCCCCCCCTCGGCCAGCACCGCGGAAGTGCGGTCCCACTCCGAGGCGGGCGCCCAGACGCGGGGGGCCCTCGGCATCACCTCCACGTCGTCCTCCGCCTGCAGGACGCGGCTCGGGTTCAGCAGCGCCCAGCGGGCCCGGCCCTCGCAGGCCCTGAGCACGTCCACCGACGAAGCCGCCGACACAGGGGGGGGCGCCTCGACAAGCCGCTCCAGGTTCAAAGGCTCGGACGGGTAGACTTCCCCCCCTGTGTAGCCCACGGCGGAGGCCTTCATCTCGGCCCCCCAATCGATCGCCGGCAAGTCGCCGCCGCACTGATCCAAGAACACCTGTGCCACCTCAGCAAGAAGCCGCGTGGCAGATGCTTGCGCCGCTGTGGGCCTCCTCCTGCTTGGCGCCAGACGGGGGGCACGCCCGCGCACCCCGTAGTGGAAGTTGAGACCCGCGATGGCCAGGGAGAGCCAGTCGTTCACCTCCGGCCTAGCCTGCACCAGCTCCCTCTCGCCAGCACCTCCACGGCGCAACGCAAGCACTCCTCGCACTTCCCCAGGCGGAAGAGGAAGAAGGTTGCACCTTCTCCGCCTGGGCGGCGGTGTGGGCACACCATCTGTCTCGAGCTCGTCCGTCTCGCTCTCGATCTCCACCTGATTCGCGCACGCGTCCTCATCCCGACCCCCAGCTGGCTGATGTGGCACAAGATATCACGCAGCTGGCCTCCCAAGGCATTCAAGTTTCTGGCTGTCACCTCGCGATCTCCTGGGATATCGCAATCTACCTGAACCTGCATCCCACAAGGGCCCCCCCCCCCACCAGGCCTGCCAACTCTGCCGTGAGGCGCGTCGGCGCTGGCGGGCCGCCGCGCGCTGGCTGCGCCGTCGGGCGCGCTGGCGCCGCGGGGCCAGGCAGGGGGCGCCGCCTCGCCGCGCCTGCCAGCGCCGTCGCCCAGCACGCGGTCGCGGGGGGGGGGGGGGGGGGCAAGCACGTCGGCACCGCCTCTAGGCACACCGGCGCGCTCGGCCCCTGCGAGGCTGCAGGCGTCCAATTTGGACGCCCGAAATGGATGCCGAGAAAATGGGTACTATGCCCAACAGCAAATGTTGTCCCAAACCAACAGCGGCCGCTGTTGGGCAGGCGGCCTCCTGTCTCGAATGGACACAGGCCGCGGCGGCGTGGACAGCGAATCCTGTTCAGAATGAACAGGAACTGCTGTTGAGCATCGTGCCCATTCTTTCCGTGCCCATCTCGGGCGTCCAGATCCAACCACTCCTCCTCTCCAGCCTCCGTCGCGGCAGACTCTCAGCTATCGTCCGCGTCTGAACTCACCTCTCCAGAGAAGCCGGCTTCCTCCTTCTGGCCGGTGGCGTCGAGCTCCTCGCTCACGCCCTCCTGCCCTTGGAGCCCTTCTTGCCGCCCCTGGGCCCCTTGGACCCCTTCTCTGACCTGCCCTCGCCCTTCGCCGCGCCCCTATTCTTGCCACCGGCTTGCTTCGCCTTGTCGAGAGGGCTCCGGGCGCCCGTGGCCGCTCGACCTGCTCCTGCACCTGAGCTGGCCAAGGCGGGCCTGCGCACCGAGGGCCCGTCCCCCTTCTCGTCGGGCAGGAGCTGCACGCGGCGCGCAAGGCTGGGCTGCCGAGGTGGAGTCGGGCTCCGCGACGAGACCAGCTGAGGCGCGCCTGGGCCCCCCGCCCCCGTCGGCGAGCCGCCCCGAGGCGCGGGGGCCCGAAGGGGGCCGCGGCGAGACTCGGAGCCGCCTCCTCCCCCAGCGCGGCGCGGCGGGCCCTCCGGCAGCCTCGCGACCTGGGCCGCCGTGGACCACGCGCCCGCCTCGTGCTCCTGTTTCCTGGCCGCCAGCGTCTTTTCGCAACCGTGCCTGCGCGGCGGCGCCTCCTCCTGGCAGCCTGTGAACTCTGAGAACCCTCTGCCAGGACTGGCGGCGGCGCCCTGGGCGACGGCGCCCCGTCGCTTGGCCTCTGAGGGGGGGGGGGGGGGCGGCGTCACTCCTGAGCCCCCCCCCCTCGGCCAAACCCGTAGGGGGGCCTGCCCGTCTTCTTGCCCGCGGCCGCCAAGTGCTGCGACAGCCTCGCCTCGCCCTCGAAAGCACTGACCGCGTCGCGCACCTCGCTGGCCCGCGCCGGGCTGGCGTAAACGTCGGTCCCGACCTCTAGGTGCTGCGCCGCGGCCCAGCGGCCGCCCTTGCGCGCCTGCTCGGTGGCCCTGAGCCTCTGCATCAGCATGTCGCCCAGCTCGGGGAGGCGACCTGCCAGCAGCGCGTCGAGGCACTCTCCGATCATTATCATCTCCATGGTGTTCCGCACACCCATCGCATGAGGCGGGTGCCGACCGTGCCGCGCCGAGGTGATGCACTGCACAACCATCGCCGCCATGCCGTTCAGGTTCTCCTCCGTGCCCGCCCCGCCCCTCTGCGCCAACAGCTGCTTGATCTGTTCGAGGCCTGATGCGAGGGGTGCGCCTAGCGCCGATCTGCTCACAGACTGTATACGGCGACCTGCGGCAGAGGGTGGGGCGTCACGAAAACTCTCAGACGAGTCAGTGGAGTCCTCTTTGTTCTTCTTCCGCCGCCTCTTCTTCTTGGACTTCCCGTGGCCGTCCAAGTGCTGCTCGGCCCGAGGGGCCAGGAGTGATCCAATGTCTCGCCTCTGGGCGAGACGATGCCGCAGCCTCTCGGACTTCTTTCTGAGCTTCCTGGCGTCTAAGTCGCTCGAGCCCGCTGCTCCGTCGCCATCTCCTGGGACAGCAGTCCCTCCTCCCGCGGGACAGCGGCTGACGTGGTGGCCCTGGCAGCCCTGCCTGGCAGCCCAGCGCCGAGGGGCGACGGAGGGACCACCCGAAAGGTGTCCACGTGCACGACCTGGCGCCCTGGCCACATGTCTTGCTGGCTGCTGATCACCGCGGGACGGCCTCCGCACAGGTGGAGGACGGCCTGACCCATGCCAAACAACCCCTGCAGCAGGGGCTCGTAGAGCGGCACCCCCGTCGACACGAACTGGCACTCCACGAACATGCCCACGGCGTCGGGAGGCCAGCTCCCTCTCGTGCCGACTGGCGCGCCACCGCTGTCGAGGAGCACGCCCTCGACCTCGCATCCTGGATGCACTCCAAGTCCTCCCAGCATCTGAGGCGCGGCAGGTCCGTGGATCCACAGCCCTTGGCCTCCTGGCGGTGGCGGTGCCCCTGCGCCTGCGAAGCCTCCGAAACCCAGCAGCCCGCCGCAGGCGCCACCCATCATGGGGCCCACGGCCTGTGGTGGGGGCCCGCCAAGGATGGGCATCGCCCTCGCGGGAGGCGGCAACGGCACGCCCCCCGCGGCCCACAGCAGAGGCCCCGCAGGTGGAGGAGGCAGCGGGGGTGGGGCGGCCACCGCAACCGCCGCTGCTGGTGGGACAGGCGCCGCCGCAGCCGCCGCCTTGCGTCCCGCCTTGGCCGCCTTGCCCATGCCGCCCATGCCTCCTTTGCCTGTTTTGGCGGCCTTGGGCGCCGCGCCTGCGGCCGGAGGCGGCGCTGCTCCCAGCGCGGGCGGCGGAGCGGGCACTGCCCCTTGCCCCACGGCGGGCGGGGGGCCAGCCGCGAAGCCCACGCCTCCAGCGCCCACGCCCAGCAGACCTCCAGGCCCACCAGCTGCTGCGCCTGCTCCCGCGGCGGGCGCCCCCACGCCCAGCATGTCGCCGCACCGGCGCTCGCGGGCGGCCCGCAGGCCGCCCCTCTCGAAAGCCTCAGCCTCCCCTCACCAACAAAGTGGAGCAGGCTGCTGGTGAGGGAGGCGTTCAAGCCAGAACAGCTACAGACCAAGATGCGGGAACATTTGGGAGCCTCAAGAGGGGGGTCACATAACACACGGACACCGAGATACTAAGTATGTATGCCCACATATATATATATATATATATATATATACATGTATATATGCATATGATATATGTGTATCACTCGTGTAGGCAACCTAGCGCTTCCGCTCAAGAGATCGACGCTGGCCAACACAAACACACACGCACACACTCAGAACGGCAAAGACGCCAACACGAGCCGCATCCTACCCCTTTGACAAAGCAAAACGGCAACGTGTACAATGCTTATATCCACCGATGTCAGCCAAGACAGTCCGAAGAAAGCTCTAGAGCTTTCCAAAGAGCATCGCAATTACAACAACAAGCATCGTGCCAAAGAGCACCGACCTTACAGCAGCAACAACCGAGGCCTCATATCATCAAGGCAGTTGGCATGGACTCCTGCGTCCTGTGCGACTCTTTGATGGCACGGTGAACGTACGACTCAACACGAAAGGGTTTACAACCCTGCCAAGCCGTAGCCGAGGCGAACAACACAAAAAGAGGGTTGCTCAAGGTGCCCCTGGCTCAAGGTGCCCGGTTGTTCGCTCAACTGTGGAGCCCCAGATGCCATCTGGGCCTCGTGAGGGGCGCTCTGGAGGCCGCGGAGGCCTCCTTGGAAATAATGGGGACACCTCGGGCCAGGGGCTTTTTCTGGCGACGCCCCAAACACAAGTCACGGGCAAACGAGCGCTGTCGGAGGCATATCCTGCTTCTTCTTTAAATGCTCCTGCCCCTCGGGGCTCTCTTCCCAGATCTTCCGCTTCTCGGCCATGACCTGGCAAGCTCCGAGGGTTCGTCAGTCGGACTCCCACCAATCTCAGTCATCGAAACATATCCGACTGATTCATTCCCACTGGTCTCCGCAAGCCTTCCGATTTTCACTACGCCACACTCCTCATCGTTCGGCATAGTGGAGGTCTGATGGACGCCTCTATACAAACACACAAACCAAGCGGCACAACGCCAAGCACTGCATTCGGACTGAAACCAAGCCAGGGGTGCTCACCGAGGCTCGAGGTGGCGAGCCTCGCGTTTGTTATGTTTCGTGTTTTTGGGGCGCGTCCTCGCCGCTGCTTCCGCCACGAAGGCGATAACACTCCATTTCGCCCATGAAGAGCATGCTATGTCTAAGACGGGCGACCTTCCGACGCAAGCCGTTCTTGGCGCCGTTGAACGTCGCCGTCTTCTCGTGCATGTGGGTCCCCATCCACGGCTTGTACTCCTGTTCGGGCAATTCGTGCAAAGATGGGAGCGACTTCTGGCACGACTGGGTGATGTGTTAGCTCATGCGCGCCAGCAATATTGTCATCCACAGCACTACGAAAGTCCCCTGATAAAGAAATCCATTGGACTTGCGTAAAATACATTGGCTTAAGACACGATGCACATAATATGGCCTGAATGTGCAGCTCCTGAGAACTGGGAGAACTGTGCTGATATGGAGACTCTCGGCGGCTACTGGAAATTATGACTTAGACGATACGTCCGATGAATCGGACGTGTTTTTGAGTCAGGCCCTGCCGTAATGACAACAAATCCCCTGAGCGATGTAACGGACCAGAGGGCCCTGGAGCCAGGAATTCATGATTTCCTCGCGCGCCAGCGGCCAGGTTGAACGCAGTTCGCAGAGAAACCTGCTCACATCATAATTCGATGCATCACAGCCCCGCTGTGCAAGCGCACCTCCAAGATGGTGTGGCGGCCCAGCACGAAGCGCAGGCCATGGCAAAGGAAAGAAGTGAGTGTCGATCGCGAGCAAGGCCTGTCCAATCGGGTAGACGAATTCTGGGAGGTCGGGATAGAGTGTGGCAGCAGAAACAGCAGGAAAGATAGACAGGGCACACATCAGCAAAACAAGTCACAAGATAATGCAAGACGAGAACGCGCTGAAACACAACTCGTGAAGATAAGTTCGCGAAGGTTCCTTGTATACCAGAGTGCAGTCGTTGCTTGAGTCGACAGCCCAATCGCACTTCGCGCGAACGTACTCCCATGGCACGACAGAGACCTCAGTCAACGACCGCTTATGCCCACCCTTGCGGGCGGAAGCAGCAGTTGGACGTTCACGGAGTGGCCGGACCGCCCCCGATGTTGCCGGATGTCTCCGAGCGCTGGCCCCTTGTCACGAACTAGCGTCTACCCCAACGGAACCTAAGCCAGCACAGCTGTTTGGGGCAGCGCGGTACAGGAGGGCGTGCGAACTGGAGCGGACGGGGACACGAGAGACTAGGACCGGACAGGAGGGGACGGGGGAAAGAGAGGTGACATTTCCAGCTGGGCTTCCTTGGTTATGCCACATGCTTTTGAGGCTATGCATGAGAATGTCATGTGCACGTGCTGGCCAAACAACGAGGCCCAAACAACCCCTTGGACAACCAAGGAAGGATCCCGACAACCACCCCTAGACAACCCTTGGACAAACCTCCCAAGGGATCTTGAATTTGATGTAGTAAGAGTGGATGGGCCAAGGGATAAGGAAGTGAGATAAGTTAAGGCGGATGAGATGGTAGTGCTAAGGACAGGAGAAGCACGAGAGAACTGGGGGAGGGAAAAAGAAGAAGAAGAAGGATGGACCAGCCAATACGGCAAGGGAAGAATGAGACCGAGAAGAAATTAATCAGCTTCGAGGCCCTGCACAACCAGGATCCGCTAGAAACAGTCTCAGACAACGAAGCAGGCTTCCCTTCGCCAATCACATGGAGACTCCATGCTGGGTCTTGAGTCGTCTTGAGGAAAATGTCTGAAGGACTCCCTGCTCTTTCCGCCCCAAAGCTCAGGATTTCGGCGCCGCTGCCGTGTCTCCTTTCGCCTATCGAAGGCCCACCCGGCCGAAGGGGCAGGGGACCGACAGAAACTATCGAGACTCTGAGGCCAAACAGAGAAAGCCAGAACCCATTGCACCTGAACGGCGAAAAGAGACGGGTCTTACGTAGATGAAATAGCGAGCTTGCGCTGTGGTTTGCGCGGGCCGCCAGCGCGACACGCTACATTGGAAGCGAGGGCGCTTACTCGCGACCTTACGCTGGGAACTTACGCGCGAACGTCGGCGAAGACGATCCCGTAGTGATTGTGATTCGCCCCCCTTCCCCCCCCGACCCGTCCAGGAAGGGGCGGGGCCACCATGGCTCGCCGCCAGACGGTCACACTCTGGGCCCTAGAGGCGCCGGCCTCGCCCTTGCCGCCCTCCGCTTTGGTGCCGGGGCTGCCGCGCCACTGCACGATGCCGTCCTCTCCGCTCTCTCGCTCTTGTTTGCTTCTCTATCCCAAAAAAGGAAGCGAAGAGGAGAAATCCCACCAGCCCTTCGGGCCAGGGTAGTTTATCGAGTTTATTCTTTCCTCGTCCAAATACCTCTTCCCTTCGGGGAATTGTATTCTCCCCTCCCCTCCCTGAGGCTTTTTGGGGGGGGGACGCGAGGTGTCAGCGAGCCCTGGCCCAATATGGCTCCAAGAGGGCGCCCGATGCTCCAAGATGGCCTCCAAGATGGCTCAAGTTGGCCAATAATAGTTCGAGATAACTTCCGACATACCTCCAAGGGGCCCGACGAGGGCCACAAGATGGTTCCAAATGCTCTCGGAGCACCCTCAGGACCCGGCCAAAATCCTTCAAAAACGTTTGGGACAATCAATGGTTTGTCTTCTCGCCTTTTCGCTTCCGATGCGCCTTTGATGCCTCAAGATGGGCCCACGATGGCATAAGAGAGGCCCCAGATGGGCCAAGAGCCCCCCCCCCCCCAGACAGAACCAGCGGCGCCAAAGAGCGCCCCAAGAAGGGCACATGAGGCGATTTCGATAGCTCTTGGCGGGGACGGAAACCCGAGACCCCCTGATAATTGCCTCCGAAGTGGCCCCAAGAGGCCCTCCAGGGCTCCCAAGGGAGCCCCAAGAGGGCTCCAAGATGGCCCCAGAAGGAACCCAGCACCCCCCTAAGAAGCCTGAAGACGCACCAAGATCCTCCAAAAGAGTCCCAAGAGGGCTCCAAGAGACGACTTTGAGATCTCTGCCCTGCACCTCGTTGTCCTCCTCCTCCTCCTCGTCCTCGTCCTTGCCCTCATCGTCATCCTTTTCCGTGTTCTCCTCTTCTTCGTCGTCGTGGTCGTCGTCGTCGTCGTCGTTGTCGACGTCTTCCTCCTCCTCCTTCTCCTCCTTTTCCTCCTCGCCCCCTCGTCTTCCTCCTCCTCCTCCTCCTCCTCCTCCTTCTCTTCCTCCTCTTCCTCCTCCTCCTCCAACTCCTCATCCTACTTCTCCTCCTTCTCCACCTCCTCCTCCTCCTCCTCCTCCTCCTCCTCCTCCACCTCCACCTCCACCTCCTCCCCTTCTTCTTCCCCTCGCCCCCACGCGGACCCCAGGGATGGCCCGAAGAGGGTCTCCAAGGCCAGTTTCTTGCTCCCAGATTTCTCTGTTCACCTTGGTTGCCCTGTTTGCTTCACTACACCTGTCGTTTCGTGCCTTTCGCCATCAATTCTCATGGGCGGAGGTTGTGAATGTGCGGATGGGGGTACGCACAGCGTGCACAATACAAACATCGTACAATTATTAGCCGACCTAGATCTAAAGAACGGCCAAAAGTCAAAGCCCCTACCGAGCTTTCAACGTCTTGACTGTAGGAAGAGGATGGGAGGCAAAATAACATGACGTGGACACTGAGGACAGGTGGGTGGGCGAACAAGACGAAACAGAAAACGAGGACGAAAACCAACGAGAACGAGTGTGAGGGGCACTCCCCAGAACTCGTGGAGATATTCCTGCATTCGCGCCCCCCCCAGATTCTGACCGGACAATCATATTCGCATACAAATCCGCCACCGCGCCCTTCGCGCGCTGAGACGCGGCAGCGTGGCAGGCGCTGTTCGGATGTTCGTGCTCTTCCTAGGGCGCCCCCTCCCCTGGTAGCGTTTCCTCGCGTGCGCCGCCCCCTTTTTTTCCCACGGTTCATGGGCGCCCCGTCGTTTCCCACTTTCCAAGGCGCCTACGATGCCCAAAATGGCATCCCACACGGCCGAAACAGTCACTAAAATGACCCAGTGTCCCGAGAACGCCTGGGACGGACCAAAATGGCCCCCTCATGGCCGACGGAAACCCCCAAATGGCACCTTGACGACCCTCAGTACGGTCTAAGGGTTTTAAATCCACCGGTGGTCCTAAAATCCCACCAGCCCTTTGGGCGCGAGTGGTTTAGAGAGCCCCCTCTGTCCTCAACCCCCCTTCTTCCCCTTCGGGGAAGGGTTTACCCCTCCCCCTACCCCCTCCCCCTGGACCTGGACAGGGAGTCCGGGGTGGAGTCAGGGGGGCCTTTTTCGACTCCTGGGAGGGCCAAAAAAAGACGACCCTCACGAGGATTCTGGCCCCGAGGGGGGGAGGGAGTTTGGCCCCTCTCCTCTTCTGTGAAGCCAAAATCATTGATTTTACTACGGTTTTGGCCCCATTTTGGCCTTCTGATGGGGGCAGCGCTCATCTTCCTTCATAGCAATATCATTGATTTTACCAAGGTTTTGGGCTCATTTTGTCCTTCTCACGGGGCAGCGCTCATTTGCGCTTCTGAGGAGGTCGCAAGAGGCCCCAAAATGGCCCCAAGAGGCCCCCAGGAGGCTCCCACGAGGCCTCCAAGAGGCCCCCAAGAAGCCCCCAAGAGGCCCCAAGAGGCCCCCAAGAGGCCCCCAAGAGGCCCCCAAGAGGCCCCAAGAGGCCCCAAGAGGCCCCCAAGAGGCCCCCAACAGGCCCCCAAGAGGCCCCCAAGAGGCCCCAAGAGGCTCCAAGAGGCCCCCAAGAGGCCCCACGAGGAGCCCGAACGACTCACACCAGGACGAAGGGCCCGAACGACTCACACCACGAAGAGCCCGAACGACTCACACCACAAGGAGGGCCCGAACGACTCACACCAGGACGAGGCGCCCGAACGACTCACACCACGAGGAGCCCGAACGACTCACACCACGACGCGGGCCCCGAACGACTCACACCACGAGGAGCCCGAACGAGTCACACCAGGAGGAGGGGCCCGAACGACTCACACCAGGATGAGGGGCCCGAACAACTCACACCACGAGAAGCCCGAACGACTCACACCAGGACGAAGAGCCCGAACGACTCACACCACGAAGAGCCCGAACGACTCACACCAGGAAGAAGGGCCCGAACGACTCACACCAGGACGAGAAACCCCAAACGACTCCAATCACGAGGAGCGCTTTCTCTCCCTCCTCCTCCGCCTCCTCCTTCTCCCGCTCCCCCCACAAGGAGGATGTACAAGGAGGCGGGAGGAAGGAGGAACAGGGGAGATATGCGGGGCCAAGCGGACACACGCCTGAAAAAAACGATTGTCGGCATGCTTCGCAAGAGTTGCAGCTGTGAGATGGGCTGGTGGGGATACGCGAAGCGTTAAGAATTTCCGGGGGGAACCATTTCGCCTTCTCGGGCTTGACAGCCCCAGACGCCCCAATAATGGTCCCAGACGGCCCACATATTCCCCAACAAGGCATCACACAGGCTTGATTTAGTGTCAATATGACCCAGAGGGACCTTCAATTTGGCCCGATGAGACCCGTATGACGGCCCAACATACCCCCAAGACGACCTAGACAATACAATAGCCCCCCCTGGGGAGGCCTAGGGATACCCCGAAGAACCCCCGAGAGGCCCCCAAGACGCCTCCAGGACACCCCCGCCAGGCCCCAAGACAGGAGGGACGGAGACGAACACGAGAAAGACATCCCGACACGACGCGGAAAGGCGTTTCTAGGGACCATTACTCCAACGGTCGAACCCCGCACGAAAATCGATTTAGCTGCCCCTCGCCTGCTTGTTGCTTCGTTTGGCGGAGGTTTATTTCCGCCCTCTGCGTCCTCCTCCTCATGATCCTCCTTCTCCTCCTCCTGTTCCTTCTCGTCCTACTCGTTGAATGTATCATCCTCTTCCTGTTCCGCCCCCTCCTCCTCCTGCTCCTCCTCCTCCTCCTCCTCCTCCTCCGCCTCCTCTTCCTCCTCCGCCTCCTCCATTTCCTCCCTCTCCTCCTCATGTTGTCCTCCTCCTCCTCGGCCTCCTCTTCGCCCTGCCTTCCTCCGCCTCCTCCTCCTCTTCCTCCTGCCCCTCCTCCTCCTCCGTCTCCCCCGCCTCGTCGCCGCCCAGCTCATTCCCCTCCCGCGCCTCTCTGTTTTCCTGGCAGGGGCGCGAGCGTGGATTTTCCTCGGCGCCCTCGCCGCCACGCCTGGCAGGGGCGCGTTCTCCGACGGCGAAATCGCGCAGCCATCGGGGGCCGCGGGCCAGGCCGTCGGGGCAATCCTGCGAGCCGCTGGCGTGCGAGACCAAGCCGTTGGGGCAACCCCGCGGGCCCCGAGCGGGGCGCCGCCGCGCTCGGGCGGGGGGCGGCGCGAAGCCCAGCTCGGCCGCGAGCTGTTCCACCTCTGCCCTGGAGCCCTCCGCTCTGACGTCGAACTCCAGGAGCGCCCCCCGCAAAGGCGCCGGCTGCCCATCGCTCCAGGAACTCTCGCGGCGGCGGCCGCAGGGTCAGCATGTTCCGCACGCGCGTGGAACGGAAGAACATGGCGTAGAGGAGCAGCCGCCGCTGCTCCTCCGACGTGCCCGTGCGACCGGCGCCCTCGCCCCTCGCGCAGTCGACGGTGGCGCCTTTGCGCGGCGTCTGGCCCTGCGACAGCGTGGAGGTGAGGTACGACGCGCGCGCCGTGGCGAAGCCCGAGCGGCGCGCGGCGCGCGGCCCCTAACTCTGCCGCGTGAACTCCTGCTCGTCGGGCCTGAACGCGAGCCAGAGCTCCTCGCCCGCGCCTCGGCCTCGCCGTCGTCGTCGGCGCCTTCGGCGCCCTGTGGCAGCACCTCGGCGACTCCCGGTAGATCGGGGCCGGATTCCCTGCGGTAGGTAGCGGGGGCGGAAAAGCTGGCCCAGCGAGCGCTCCTCGCACCGCTGCTCGTCTCGAGGTGGAACTCGCAGGATGCGATGGTGGCTCGTCGCTCCTGTACGAACCCCAACTTCTTCTTCGGCTCTTCCTGCGACGCCGTGAATCGCACCTCCGTGCGGACGCGGGCCGGCAAGGCGCCGCTGACGCCCCCCGTCTTTCGCATGTTCGGGGCGCTCAGGAGGCGCAGGCCGGCGTCGGGATCGCCCTGAAACGCGCTGAACTCGTCCACGCCTGGAAGATAACGACGGGCGCGCTCAGGCGCGGCGCGTCGCGACGCACTCGCGCGTTGATCCACCTCGCCAGCGTCTCTCAATAGATTCC